GAATCGGTTCCCGAAGCAGGGAAACGATCATCACAAACCGAAAAAAACGAAAAACCCCCATTCAGACCATCGTTTTGCGATTGCAATTGTGATTAGAAAAAGATCCTCGTAATGCAGTTTCGTCATAATGTGGGCCAATCGTAAAGTGAGGCACCAGTGTACGTAAAATGTCACTCACTGAAATCTTCTTTTCAGGAGTCCAATCATAGTTCTGGATAGTTCTGGACTGGATATTTATTTTCCACAGGCTGGACAAAGTGATAAAAGATAGCCTTCCACCATTATCATCACTCCACACACACACACACACACACACACACACAGAGAGAGAGAGAGAGAGAGAGAGAGAGAGAGTGATGAAATTAAAATAACATTCCACCAGCCATTTCCCGAAAAGTAGCTGCATTAGTCAGCATTAGTATTTTGACTGAATTGTAAGGTGAAAAGAAAGTGGGAGGAGGCAAAATATAAGCTGAAATCCTGTTGCTTAGTATATTAAGTCACAAGTAGAGTAGGCCCATTGAATCAGTGAAGATTTAATGAATCAACTTCTCTGTAAATTCAGTTGATTCAATGGGCCTAGTCTAGTTTCAACTTACTACACGAAGCAACAGGATTTCAGCCATTATCTTTTACTTCAGTGTGAGCTTTTGCAGAACAATCTCCACTTCCTCAAACACAGGAAGTGCAAATATATGTACTGTTTATTTATATATGTGAGAGATTGCTGACAAAGTGACTGTGGTTCATTAACCCAGGATGGGAATGATAAAAGTCTTAATCATTTGAGGTAGGAGACCTTACAAAGGCTGTTCCTGGACAGACTCTGACCTTTGTCCCTAAAACAATTCTTAGTGACACCAAATATCCTTGGCAGATATTTATTAACATACTCCCCTCAATGTATTTGTTCATATAGAATTGTGGGTAGTGAGAAGGGAGGCCAGAAAGACAGAGAGAAGCAGAGTAATGTTAGAGTAAAACTCAGTTACATGCCTTGAATAAGATTTGCTGTCGTCAGTTTCTCTGCTGGCTCTAAGAAGAAGAAATAGCAAAGTGAGAAATGGGCGAGATGTTAAATAGGGAATCTATAAATGCCATAGGCATTGGGGGATAAGGCATGTATTTTAAGCTGCAGAATAGGGCAAGCAAAGGAATCAAGGGACTCTAGCAGCTTCTGCATGAAGAAAAGTTACAATATTTTACCTTTTTTTGCGGGGTATGATAAAGGTATATAAAATTATGCATGCTATGGATAAAATACTGGAATTCGGGGCCACCCACTGAAGTTGAAAGAAAGGAAATGCAAGTCAGAGAAACAGAAGTATTTCTTCAAACAGTGCATATTTAATCTGTGGAACTCACTGCCACAAGATGTAGCTGTGGGAATTTTGTTTTCTTTTATCATGCTATCTGTAGTTTGAGTGACTGATTGCACCACGCTGGTTCGAGCAAAGTCATAGTGGACATTTGAAACTAAGAAGTGCTCACAGACAAACAAAATGAGGAAGCCAGAACCAGTGATAGCAGGTTGAGATTTCTGTAGATGTTTGTGAGCAAGTGTCAATTCTCAGGCAGGCATCCTTGTGCTGATGGAGTACACGTAATTTTTTTAAAATCCTCTTCTCATGACTGCAGACCCACTCACAGCCACAGACACCTGGGCTTAATAATAGCAGATGCTCTTCAACACTCCTGGCCAACTGGAACGAAGAGAGTGGACTAAGGCAGTAGTGGGGTGAAAGGTGAACGAAAGTATATAAATAAAAGTCTCCTGCTGTTGAAGGTAGCAGCCATGGACAGTCATGTCCATGAAAAGATAACTTGGCTGTCTCTCATGCCACACTAACTGGCTAGAGAGTAAGATACCTAATATAATAATTTACAGCCTTTGGCTGAGGCAATGGAATCGTAATTTGAAGCCCTTGATAAAGTAAATGAGGGTTTCCCCCACCCCAGGCCTGTACAGTAACAACATAATCACTGTATTATTTTATGTCACATTGGGTTGGTTCAAATATGTAGACAAAGGCCACAAGGGGGCACCTTTGTATGTTGTATATTGGGCTGCAGCAAACTACATATAAGTGAAACATTAGATACTGATCCCATGAATCTGGGTATCCTGCTGTAGTGATAGTCATTACCAGTCACTGCATTGCTTTTGAAATGTAACTCACTGTGCCCTTGTTGCCAAAGAAAAGGAACTGCTTACATGTAACTTCATCATGAGCCTCATGGTGCAGTGGCTCTGCTCACAACCGGAGTCTGATTCTGGGCTTAGGTAGCTGGCTCCAGGTTGAGTCAACTTTCCATCCTTCATGAGTGCATGGTTTGTGGGGGCCAGCATCCCAGTACATGTTTTTGAGCTAGGGTGTAGAGAAATGCCAATAAGGACTCCGGAGGTAACAAAAAGGCGACCGAGGAGGGGGTTCCCTTAGCAAAGGGGCCTAGCCATATCTGCTG